CAACCTGGGCTTCCATTACACCTGAGCAGTGCCACAGGCTGATTGCCTCCATGCCACGCCGTATTGATGCAGTAATTCAAGCAAAAGGAGGCCCAACCAAGTATTGAGTGCATAGAAATGAACATACTTTTCAGAAACCTGATATTTCTGTTTAAAATATCCTTTTTTTTTATCTTATGTAATATTCTAATTTTCTGAGACACTGAATTTTGGGTTTTCTTTATCTGTAAGCCATAATCATCAAAATTTCAAGAAATAAAGGCTTGAAATATTTCACTCTATGTGTAATGAATCTATATATTATATGGGTTTCACTTTCTGAAATGAGTGACAAAAAATATTGACCTTTTTCATGATATTCAATTTTTTTTAGATGTACCTGTATTATTATATATGACACAGAAATGACAGAAAGGCAATGAAGAGAGAGAGAGGACATGAGCTACACTGCGCTTTTGTCATGGCACTGAAAAACATAGTCAAGTTAGGAACAGTGAGGAACAGTAGTGTCCGACCTTGGCTCCAGTGTCTTTGAGCTCTGTCTCAGCCTCTAGCAGCAGTCTGTCGGCCTCTCTGAGCTCTGCTCTGCGCTTCAGCAGGGTTTTCTCCACACACTCCACCTCTCCCAGGACACACTGCTCCTCCTCTGCATGTGATAAGGAGCTTTCCAGCCCACTCCTGATGAACCAAAAACAGAAAGGAACATGATACTTTATACACATGTAGTGTACATTTCAGAGGCGTAATGTGTTATGTTAAGTCTATATTGAGTAAGATATATTGGTGTTGACATGCTGACTGACGTGTGGCGCTGCAGTGTGTGGACAGTCCTGCGTAGATGTTTGATTTCCTGCTGTAAGTCTGTTGTTTTGTCCTGAAGTGCTTGCTGCTCTTTCTCACTGTGAGCTCTATCGGCACACTCCTCTCTCAGCCTACGCTCTGCCTTCTTCAGATCTCGCTCCTGAAACACAAACCAAGACTACTTATCTTGAAAATGATGGAAATTTACATGTACACTACCATTCAACAGCTTGGGGTTGGTGATATTTTTTTGATGTTTTTGAAAGATGTCTTTTATGCTCACCAAGGTTGCATTTATTTGATCAGAACTGCAGTAAAAACAGGAATATTGTGAAATAATATTACAATAAAAAAAATAATAATAATAATTTTAAAATAAAACGTGTCACACGATCCTTCAGAAATCATTTTAATATGCTGATTTGGTGCTCAAGTAACATTTCTTCTTATTATCATCAATTCTTTGAATCTTTGATGAATAGAAGTTCAACAGCATTAATTTGAAATATAAATATTTTGCAACAATTATGTCTTTAATGTAACTTTTCATCGTGTCCTTGCTGAATAAAAGTATTAATTTCTAAAAACAAACAAACAAACAAAAAACCTACTGATCTCAAACTTTTGAAGTATAGCACACATAACCGGAGTATGACCAAATTCTGATTAAGAGCAGAATATCTTTTGCAACATTTATACAGTACATTAAAATCAATGTAACATTGTAGTGTAGCTCAGTGGGAAATAATGTGCTTAATTAAGTTGAAATCTACATATCTCATACCAAGTCCTGATGTCCAGGCACATTACAGTGCAGCGTCCCACTGGGCACCAGAGGAATAGTAAGATTGCTGGGAGGAGGTCCATACACCAGCCTGGCTCCATCAGGGGGCGGCCCATAGAGGACTGTACTTGAGCCAATGGGAAGGCCAGGCACAGAGTGATTGTAGATAAATGATCCAGGAGGAAAAGCAGTACCATCAGGTAGAGTAAATCCAGCAGAGACTGATGGAGGCGTGAAGCGTGTTCCAGACACGCCCTCTATATCGCTCTCTCTTCCACTGTCTCTGAACATCTGTGCATCTGAGGAGACAGGAGGACAGATATTACAGCGCTGACATGATATTGACCATGATGACTCTGAATTGGGGTTCCATGGCACTTGCCTCTCTTTCCATGAGCGTGCGGATGGGGGGAATAGACCCAGTATCCTCGATTAACAGGAGATCTTCTCTCCCTGTGTGCTCTGTGGCCGGACCGCCGGCCTCTCTCAGGGGACTGTGGGTGCACAGAGTCCAGTCCTGAGTCTTGTGTGCCCTGAGATCCAAAACTAGGGGCCTGAGGACAAATAACATGCTGATTACAATAAAAAAACTGGCATTTACATTTACAAGTGCATTCCTTTTCTAATGCTAAAATAATGTTTCTTATTATTTTCATGACTATTGTTTGTTTTTCATTTTCTTTTTTTAATGTTTATTTGTTAAAATGTCAGTTTTATATGTTTGTATTTTAAAAAGTGTAATTACAAGTGACTGTCTGCTAAAATTTCTAATAATAAAAATATTTAAACCATAAAATAATTTTTCAAAACATGATTTCTTACATTTTGATTTGATGGTACATAGTACCAACATCCTGTGTTTGGCAGGGGATCTCCTAAACTGGACAGGAAGTTATTCTGCAGTAGGAGAGTCTCCCTCAGTGCTCCAATCTCTTCCAGCAGCTCTTCTAGATTTCCGTTGTTAGCTAAACAAACCACAATATATAACAAGTCCCATTTTTGCCTTGAAGGAAATGTGCATGGTGCTTGCCCACAAAACACCATGATGCTAGGGTGTTTTGAGGGGCTGCTATGTAAAGATGGCAAACAAACCTGCTTTGCCTTGTGCTAGTTGATCTCTGAGACGTTTGGTTTGGGCCTGTTGTCTTTTCAAGGTTTGGTTTAATCTGTCCAATTCTTGCTGTTGAATACTAGAGATTGGGACACTGTTGAGATTCCCATCTGTCTCATGAACCTACAGAAATCAGATAATGCGTTAACATATAGAGGTGTGGACAGTACATTAGTAAACTAAAGGTATATTTTTATTTTATTCAACACTATCTCCTATCTACAGTAGTCAACATTTGAAGTGGATCAAAAAAAAGTTCATCAAAGTTGTCCTAAGTCAAGAACGGGTATTGTTTTGGTTTTAGGACAACTTTGATGAAAGGTTTTAATCCACTTCAAATGTTGACTACTGAACTTCACAACCAATCTGAAAGTTCAGTGCGACTGCTACTAGAGACAATCGTATTCAGAATATTGGAGTGCAAAAGGAGAATAAAACTGAAGACTGAAGTTTGAAGATTCTGAGCAGACACATTACCCTATCTCTCAAAAGCTTCTGGAGAACCTCAATTTCTGCTTCAGCATTAGCCAAGTCCCGAATGGCCTGGACAGCCTGAATCCTGGTGCTTTGTAACTCCTCTGCATTCTACATACATATACACAGATCATCATCAGTGAACTTCTCTCACATAGATTTTGGTCCCGAAAGATCTCAAGTAGTCTGCCTCGTGTCTTACCGCTGCTTTCTCCTGATGTATTTTCTCTACAGTGCTATGAAGAGAGTGAAGTTTGTCCTTCGCTGACGTCAGTTGTTGGGCAGCCATTCTGTCAGCAGAGGAAAATGATCTCCTGAGCGCCTGCAACTCCAAACTGAGAGATTCTAGCTGCTCCTGAGTCTGACTCTCATCAGCTTTCACCTAGAAAGACAACAAACTATTAAATACATAGCTGCTGAAAGCAATATCCAAAGTAAAATACAAGTTAAGCTCTATTGTGAAATAAATTAATCATGGCATTTCTTTAATGGCATTGGTAACTATAAACTCTAATGCAGTGTCCACAGGGTCCAAAAGTATTTTTTCATTGCTAAGGTTCCCTAATCCTAACATTACATTACATTTCAACCTCATAGCAGATCTAGACAGGTGGAGCTGGGGAGGAGGAGGGCTGAAGAACCAATCAGCCACTCTGACGAATTTTCAAAAATTGAGCAAAAAACAGAAGAAAATCAAGAAGGTAGCAAAAGAAAAAAAAATTATAATACATAATAAATAAAAATAACAATCACTCTCATTCTGGCACCTGTTTATCTTGTTCTTCTAATTCAGCAAGAAGACGGTCCCTGTCCATTTCTGTCTCCTCTAAACGCTGCAGCATCAAGTGCTGCTGCTCTTGAGCATCTTCCAGCTCCTTCCTCAATCTATGGAGCTCCGCCTCCTCACCCCGTCTCTCTGCTGCCTGCTGGAATAAAATAAAGGGAGATCAGCATCTCTTCATACTAAGACATTATACTGCAATATGTGAGCATCTGAACTTTAGAAATGGCAATGTAACTGAAAAGTCTATTTAAAATAATGATTACTTGAATTCCACAACATCAGCTCACCTGAGCCTGGTATCTTTCTTGGTACTTCCTGAGTCTCTCTTTGAGCGAACTCATCTCTCCAGCAAGTCTGTCCTGACAGCGCTGGGCCTCGTCTCTATCGCTCTGAGCAGCAGATACCACACGATGCACCTCCTGTTGTAGCTCCATGAATTTCTTGTTCATTGGCTCCCCAAGGTCTTTAAAGCTGCAACAGGACAGGATAATAAAGACATGTCACCATCTGATGGACACATCTGTAGCCACAGTCCACCTATTATAATTTGCTTAAATATCCAATAAGAATCTATAATACCTTAGTTCCTCTTGTCCTGTAGCTATGCTTCTTCTCAGCTCTCCTAAACGTTTAGCCACACTTTCTGTGCAAAGAAGCTCCTCCCTAACCTGCTCCAAATCACCCTGAAGAGCATCCACCTTCTCCTTAAGACTGTCTCTTTCCTCCTGTGAAAGCCATTTTCAGCCAGCAATTCAAAGATGTGAGTCATACTGGAGGTTGAATGATTCTCATACATCAACAAGCATCAGAATGTACAACACATGCTTTTACAGGCTCTGAGAAGGGTTTGAGGTGAAAATCGTGCATCCTTTGGTCTTTCCAAGAATCCTCTCTTTCCAATAGAAGAAAAAGTCTGACTGAGCTTTATTATTCTGGTATGAGGTCTGTTGTGCAGTAACACACCTGAAGAGTGTTGACCTGTTGCAGAAGCTCTGTGTTCTCAAGCTCTCTGTCGGCAGCCATCTGCATCTGTGCCAAAGCGTTCTCTTTTGCCTGTCTTTCTTTCTGCAGCTCCGCCTGCAGTGCAGAGTGCTCCATCTGTAAATGTGGAAGCCACTTCAATGTTAAAATTTAAAAGGCTGTTTTGTAAAATGTTTCTTAAGCACCAAATCAGCATATTAGAATGATTACTGAAGGATCACATGACACTGAAGACTGGAGTAATGGCTGAAGAAGAAAACAGTTGTTTTAAATTGTAATAATATTTCACAATATTACTGTTTTACAGTATTTTTAATCAATTTTTATCAGCTATGGTGAGCATAAGAATCTAAGATTTTGAATGGTAGTGTA